TGAAAAAAATATTCTTTAGTTCTTTACTGAACCCAAAAAAGGCATTAAATTTGTTCCACTGCATCGATAAAGTACTGTATCACAAAAAATAAATCAAGGTAATTACTAATATTCATGTGGAGACGTGAATTAGCTTTAAGTCTCTCAAAAATTAAAATAAATTAACTGTTTATGTAACACTCGTTTTCTAAATCACTGCCTAATTCCAGAATATGTTTGCAAAACTTTTGGGGAGAACTGCTTTAATATCAGCTGCCCCAGTAGCGACAGCAATGAAGAGTAACGAATCTGAGCCTCAGGCGGTATATAAGCCGCAAGAATTGCCAATCTATACAACTGTTTTTGGAAAAGATGCAAAAAAGTAAAATTCTATAATAAATTAATTTGTAAAAAAAACAATATGACAACAATCAAAATTCAGTCTTAAAGACCAGTTAAATCTTCGCTGCACATCAAAATCTTGTTAAACCGATAAGAAACAATTGGCTAAATTTACTATATTTTTAGAGTTACGACAGTTGAAAATGAGCCATCAGTTATGCGATCATCAATAGAAGGTGGTGTAAAAATTGTACGTGAATGTTGCTGTGACTGTGTCAAAGCTGTTAAAGATAAAAAGAGGCCCATAGACGAATTTATTGGAACTGGAATTGAACACAGTCAATGTGAGGCTCATTTTTTAAAATTTATTGATTATTCTATTGCATTTAAAAGTATTATTTTGAATTTGTGAAAATAAATGCTATTTTCTTATTAGACGTCATACAATGAAACAAAATATGCAGATATTAACCCTCTAGTGCATAGCCCAGCTTTTAGGCAGGGTGTATAAATTATTGTCTAAAATATATAATTAAAAACAAATGATTCTATTTATGAATTAAAATATATTCAGCAGGGTTCAGGCTTTCATTTTCCGGTCATTTGAAAACAGAAATTTTACAAAAAAAATTATCTTTTTATTCGTTTATAGCAATTTTATAGCAGTTTAAACAATGGATTCGATTGTTCTCCAATTTTGTCAATAGCATTTTTTGAGTAAACTAAGCAAATTTTTAAATTTCGATTATTTTTTTAAGGAATTTTAAACCAAAATAATCATAGAAAAATAGTTCTCATGGTTAACACCTGATTCTCAAATAGCTAATTGGTATATTTTGGTTTTGTAACTTTTATTTTAAAAAAACACCACTGTCGGAGCACTAGAATATTTTAATTTTGATATCTAAAATAGACTAATCGAACGTCCTAGTACAGAGATTCGATTCTCAACAGTGGTATTTTTAATCAAATAGCCTCTACCCGCGAAATATCTTTTGATATATATCTATCCATAGTTGGGCAGACTTTCTTCGCAGGTGTTGACCATCAAAAACACTATCAAATCGAAAGAATTTTCATCTCCAAAAGCCGCATAATGTTATAACTCTGCTGTTGTATATCTTTCAAAAAATAGTTTTCCTTTACTTTCAGTTGCATTCGATTATCTCAATCAGCCAGCAAATGGTATTCATCTTTTAAATCTCCTATATATCTATTGAAAATATCGAGAGGAGAGTATGTTTTTATTCAGACATTACTCAGCCATAAGCGCTGAATAACATACTCTCTTCACGATATATTCAATAGATATATTATTCTATATTTTGCTATTAATTTTTTACAATTAATAAACCAATATAATTAATACACTTTAGGTATTCATCGTACAGGCGCTATTGCTGTTGGTGCTGTATCAGGTTATATTATTGCTATCCGTCGAGGTTTCTTTCGTCGTCTCTTGTACACGAGTTTTGGTGGTCTAAGCGTTGCTTCAATTTGCTATCCAAAAGAAGCTGAACTATACTGGCAACAAGCACTAAGCGAAACGAAAACCTACGCAACTATTTTATATAATTTTGCATATGGCGGTATTAAACTTCTTTTTGTTTTGCATTAAAAAATTATTCCACTTTAAATCTGTAATCGTTTTTTAGTTAAACCAGGTGATGAACCAAAACCTCTCCCAAATATAGTTCCAGAAAACTTGAAGGAAGCCTATCGCAATTTAAAAGGTTTTTTCGTATCAAATAAATAGTTCGAGTTACACAACGTATAGCAGTATGTAGTGTACGAATAATAGGGGTTTAGGGGGTTTTACTCACTCCTTAGATCCTGAATGAAATAATAAGATGAAATTGAAGATAAAATTGAATATTTCAAGTGAAACCTCCTAGAAATTTGACCTTATACACTAGAGTGTTTTCCATATATGTAATTAAATAAATGGTATGTTTCAATTTAAAAAGCATAAAATTCTGTTTTAAATCGTAGCATTTATGTAAAGCGTCGATTGATATCGCCACTTCCCGAAGCAAAAAACTCTTTAAAGCAAAAATTGTCTAATGTCTAAATATTGAATTAGTATTATTGATGTGAACCGAGCCTTATGACATTTGACGTTCATTTCATTGGTTTTCGAAATGTCATAAACGCCACTTTATTCCAGTGTGTCTATAATATATAGAAATATCATTAAATAGTGTCGATATCTATACTATATCGGTCCACTATATATGAAAGATATTGCCGCACGGCACCGTATCGCACGATCGAAGTCAGTGTAGACGGAAAAAATCACAAATTGCCGTGCGGCAGTAGAAAGAACCGTGTGTATGCGTCAACATGTTTGCCGTCCGCACTCACTTCGATCGTGAGCTACGGTGTCTTGCGGAATATCTTACATATATAGTGCACCGATATAGTATAGATATCGACACACTGCTTTATTCATACCGTGAACACGTTTGGCGTTGTAGCTACCAAGTAAACAAATCAATCTTACATTTTATTACGATATAGACTACAGCAGTGTAAATTTCACTTCAACGTTTCAATTATTCTACGATTTTGCTGATTCATATTGCGTTTTGTATTGATTTCACAATTATTCTGCAAATCGGAAGATTTTTGTCATTTTTGTGTGTTGCATCATTTTGTGTGAGTACCAAAAAAGGTGATAGA